ATGAAGTTCACAGAACATCAGAGTCTGTATTTGTAGATATCTGGGGATATTTCAAAGTTCTGTAATTTCACCAGAAGAGTTTCTAACTCTTCACAAAATGTTTTAAAAGAGATTACTACTAAACCATGAAGCTTTGCTTTTACTTTTATAAATCGATAATGTGCTTGTGAAAATACTTGATAATTGGCCAAGCAGTAGCTAGTTTTGCAATGGTCCATTTTCTATCACTACTATTATTAGTAATGCTTAAATCAGCTAACCTGCAGGAACAGAACTGTGTGAATGTTAGATTTTGCTTTTAAAAGGCTGTTGTGTCTGGATTGATAAGTATATAACAAGTTTTATTTAATACAAAGTAGAAAGATTCACGTGCTGAGCAATTAGAACAGTGTGTATTTAGTGTGGGCATTGCCTTACAATTATAGGTGTATAATATTCTCATGTATAATCTCAAAAAACTTAGGATCTACTAAATACACACCAAAGAGTAAAAATGAAAGAAATCAAGTTAATTTAAAAAATGTCTCCTTCCATGTTTTTCTTTTTCTCCATGTCTACACCAGTAGTAAATACAACATTTCTAGGTTGGTCAATATTCTCTATAAAAATATAACAACCATGAATGTCTAAAATGCCTAGTGACAACATAAAGTCATTAGGGTCCTCCTCTATTATATGTACTTGGATCATTAAACCAAAATCCAGATTGCATTTATTTTTACCATGGTCCTTGGACCAACAACAGAAACAAATATACACAATAACCACAGCATTGGCAGTTTCTTCCTGTGCTACCCTTTCATTAGAAGCATGTCTGCCAAAGTGGAAGATTAACACACACTAAAGCCAAATCAGGCAGTATTCTGTTCCTCAAACAAGCAGGGTCTCTGAGCATTTCCGGACCCATGAATAGAGGGGCAGCATTACCTGAATAGTAGGAACAATGGAAATGTAGTGGCAGCATGACTTAGAGTCAAATGAACTTGACATTAAATAACTGCCGAGTATTACATGACAGTATTATTAACCTGCATAGCAGGTTAGGACATATCCATAAATTAAAATTCTAATAATTTAAGAGTTAAATGACTATCAGATTGATTTTGTGGTTAGACATCAAAATACTTTGGCGCTGGCTTTATTAACAAATGTAATTTTATGTTAGATATTATGAGGACTGCTCAAAAGTTATTCTGTGTTTTAATACATGTATAATTATTATAAAATTTATTCTGACAAAGTATATGAGCAGTGTTGATTTTCAGAAAGAATTTGATTCAGAAAACAGTCAATAAACTGTGTTCAACTTCAAGAGCTGGGTCTTACTGTGGATAGTTTATGTAGCTTGTATTCTCATGTGTTCATCTGAGACAAAATAACTGCCATTTGCTATGTTCAATAAATGGTATTTGTATGAATGCCTTTTATGCAATGCTTAACATATTCTTGTGTTTAATATGCAACCTTACTAGCTTGGTTATTTAAAAATATAATAGATGTGGATGGCTAAAATGCCTAGTAACAACATAAAGTCACTAGCATCTCCCCCTTTTTACACATTGCAACATTAATAACTAAATCCAGATTATATCTGTAAATACAACATAAAATATTTTATTGAACTTCTTAGTAGTCTTGATATTTTTTTCAGTCTACATAAAAATTCTTCTGCTTCAGGAAAACATTGTATTTAACGTTAAAATTTTGTCTAATTTAGATAATATAATAAAATCTTAAACTATTGCCTATTTATGATTAATTGATTAACTTATATCCACAAAATATATTCAAAATCAAATACTGTTGTTTATATTATTTTAAAAATTCTTAATAGTCAAGATAGAAATATTTCTAAATAGGCAATTTCCATTTTTTTCTCCAATTTTTGTGGAAGGTAGCAGAGATCAAAGGATCTCACTGTGTAGTATATATAGCCCAGGATGGCCTTGACCCATGATGCTCCTCCAAGTGCTTAGAAACTAGTTACAGGTTTGCACCAGTGCAGACGGTCTAAATAGGCAACATTATAAATAATAAATGTGAAGGTAGATATGGAAGAGTAGGTTTTAAATGATATTTTTATAAAGTCATGGTAGCATTGTTTTAAGAAACCATTTGTCGGCTGGGCATTGATGGCGCAGTCCTTTAATCCCAGCACTCGGGAGGCAGAGGCAGGCGGATCCCTGTGAGTTCGAGGCCAGGCTGATCTCCAGAGCGAGTGCCAGGATAGGCTCCAAAGCTACACAGAGAAACCCTGTCTTGAAAAAACAAAACAAAACAAAAAAAGAAGCCATTTGTACTACCTTATGATGCTATAAACACATGGTGAAAATAAGTTATTCACAAGCTATGAAACCTGTGTGAATGATGTGCTTCTGCTGGCTGTGTTTACTTCACACACAAAAATCACCTCTATAGAAAATGGCAGTGTATAATGAAAATATATCATCTGCACTTCTCACTTTGTTACTGGGTAAGAGTAACACTGAATGGCTTCTTTTCATTCTTATGCTCAGGTAGGAAAACTGAGGTTTACATAGTTTATGATCTGTAAATCTTGGATTAACAGCAAGTTCCTGTGACTCTGAAGTCTGAACGTAGGGCTGGATAAATGGATTAGCAGTCAAGACCATATCTAGTCTTGCAGAAGTCCCCAGTTCCATTCCCTAACATCCATTGGTGGTTTAAAGCTGCCTGAAACTTTGACCTTTGAGGTCACTGCATTTCTGTACACTGATCATGATGATGATGATGATGATAATGATGATAATGATGATGATGATGTTATCTGAGCTCTAGCACCTCCAGGTTCAGGAATGCAATACCCATGCCCTTCTCATAGCACACACTAAGAAACTCCTATATTGGGCATTAAGAATTAAATAGGGAGCAAATCTAGCCATCATCCCTTGGCTTTATATGGTTTAGCAGAAGAGAGATTGAGTCACTTGGTTTTTATAGCCACATAAATAAATGTATGAGTTTTAAGTAGTGATAGCCACTTCCATGTGGAGATATGTAAGGTAATGAGAGCAGATACACAGGGAAGCCCACTAGCTAATTCAGGATGGCATGCCTTAGGAAAGGGCACTGGGAATAGGATCCAAAGGACAAACAAGGGTGGAAAAGGCATCCAGTTGGAGAGAAGTTCTTAAACCTGAGAACAGCGTGTTATGAAGACTGCACAGGAGAGAGAATATGTTTGCCAATTTTGAAAGGAGGCCATGTTCTTTGGAAGACAAAGAATGTGAAGTAGGCATAAGAGGCACACACTGGCAGCTCCTGAAACTATAATAAAATTTTACAGTCAGAGGAAAACTTTGTGTTGTGGGTAGATTTAAAAATCTTTTCCTGGGGTAGAAGAACCAGGGGGAGGTTGGATCTGGGGAAGAGGGGAGGTGGGGGAGAGATTGGGAGGAGGGGAGAGAGGGAAAGCTGCAGTCAGGATGTATTATATGAGAGAAAAATAAATCAAAATAAAACTTAAAATTTAAAATACACAATAACAAAGAGCTTTCTTCTGTAAAGTACAACACATTAATGAAAAAGGTGTGTAAGAGAATACTATTCTGCAGCACCTGAAAGCACTGTTCATGAAATGTCATGGACGCAGAAACCTGTAGAATCTCATTCGAAAACATAAAAGTGGACCACAGTAATGAAAAGGCATGCCATAGTCTTGTTTGGAAAAATTAGTATCAGAAACAGTTGCTCCTAAGATCAGTGTATTAATTCAATATGTATTTACAAGAATCCTAATGTGGGTTTCTTTAAAGGAAGAAAAATGATTTTCAGGTCAGTATCAAATAATGAATGCTGTAAAATATCACAAGGGTATTTCTGGAAATGTTAGAAAAAGAATACTTGTTTTTGATTTTCCAAATACCAAATGCTGCTTCTGTTAAGCAGCTGTAACCCAAACAAGATGATATAGCAACAATGAAAGAAATAATGGAAGACATGTCAATTCGGAAAATTACAGAATCTAGAGTATGTATCAGAACTTTTGTGTGTCTTCAATAGTAAAAAGATCCTTTGGGAACATTTTTATTTTCAATATTTTAGATGCCCAGTTTGGGTAGAACATTGTATTTTGTGATCTGAAAACCTATCAACACAGTATTTTCCTATGCAATTGCAATTGCAATTACCTCTGTGTTCAAGCATATTTTCCATTAATTATTTTGGTTTAGAAATGTTATTATAGGAAAAAAGGTGCACTGTCAGGTGTAATTTAATGTTATGACAATGATAATACTGAGTTTATGGTAGCTGAAAATGACTTGTGAACTTAATTTACCAGATCCATCTTTCATGATTAGAGGTACGTGGGGAAGATTTTCAAAGGTCTCAGAGGCAGACATCACTTTCTATAGTTAAAAATTACATGTTTTTGAAGAGATAGTCTTTATATATTTAAGTCACTGTGAGTAATATTTGTTATAATATTTATATATTTACATCACTGTGAGTAATATCAAATACTTGAAGTACCATGAGCTCTGGGACAGATGGATAACTATATACCATTAAGTCCCCAAACCTAAGTTGCATTAAGCAGTGTTACTATACTAAGAAAATATTTAAAACTGGTCCTTTGATCTCAGAGTTACAATGTCAAATTGATAACAGTTGAATTAAACACTCTTTTTCCACGGGTATGTCTTTAGACTCTTTAAAAGCTTTAATCTATTCATTCCCATTTGTATCATCATGTGATTAATTTAGAAATCCCCCCAAAGAGCAAAGACATTGGTCTTATAAAATATTCTTCCACTTGTGTAAGTGAAACTTTAAGTTTGATAATTGTAACAACTGTGTTATAACTGCAGGGAATGTGTGATTTATAATGTGTATAAAGTGGTTCTTTGCATGAAGCCTTAACCTGGAAGTGCATAATTCAAAAAAGTGTATAGACTGTGTTTTCTGGATGTGTTGCTATAGTCATTTGCTTTTGGCCTTAAAGGCTGTCCATCCTAACGTGTCTATTTTTTATGCAGGGAGGATGTGAGAACAGCAAACGTAATTGCCGCAGAGGCTGTCACATGCCTTGTGATTGACAGAGAGTAAGTACATTGCTTTTTCTATGCATAGCACATACTCATATCAGCCATATACATGTTTCTGGAATTAGTCATCATTTTTTAGAGGTTTAGTACTTGTTTAAAGTCTTTTCCTTTCCAGATGAGATCTATATTTTATTCTCGTATTATTTTTAGAAGTGGCTAGCTCTGCCAATCTAGCCTTGTAATCTTTAATAAGATACTTAACCACTCTGAACTTCAGCTCCACAGGCTCACTTGAAAAGTGAAGATAAAGCAATATCATAGGATATTTTGAGGATTAGTAAGAACGTGTAATTAAAGCATTTGCAGAGTTCCTTTAACTCGGGAGGTGCTTAGCTAGTGCAGGCTATTTTGGTGTCCTATTTAGAAACATCATTGTTATTGCTTTGAGTATGTTTAAGGTTTCTTTTCTGTTTCTCTATTCTGAGACTCCTACACCAGAAGCTTCACGGAAGACACTCCTCTAAAAAGCATCAGCTTTGGAAGTGGACAAGAGCCTATTTAGAGAAGTGAATGTCTGTCTCACGACATCCATCACTGTCTTGTTTCTTCACTTCATTATAGTTTACAGTTCTTACTGAGATGATAAGTAACCAGAAGTAACTTATTGCCACTTAAATATGGCTCATATGCATGTTAGCCACATGGAACCAGGTTTCTCTCAATGCAGTGTGTGTGAATGAGTTTCTCAGAAAGGCTAAGAGCCTGCCCCAGAAAGAGTAGATAGGAAACCATTTTGGTAGACCCTCCCATCTGCTTGAGGCATTGTGCTGCCATGAACTACAGCTGAGGAACATAGGGCAAAGTTAGGAAGCTAGAACTGGGTGAGCTTAGGGGACTCTGAGTGGAGAGGTTCCTTATTTGATAAACAATTCCTATTTTTGAGGTCTCTTCATGCTGGATCAAGAGAAGCTGCTACCAGGTGGCTGAATCCACAGGGAGCTCTGAAATGGTTGCCATTGTGGGGCCATTTATAGGAGGAAGGTGTAATAAGGAATCAGATTGAAAAGGATAAAAACAAAGGGTTGAATATCTAACTAAATTAAAGACCAAGAAATAAGATAAGGATATTGTTAGGGCAGAGAAAGTTAGATGTAGAAGCAGAATCAGTTCAGGAGGCATGATGATGTTCCCTTGAGAATGAAATCCACGCGTGGGTATGCAATCTTGGATACTTAAGACAGATGTTTTTCAGGAAGCCATAGATGTGGACAGGAGCTCCTTCTACCACTACCTTAAAGTTAACACTAACATTGCCTACATAGACTTAACAGCTGAAGTCATTAGATAGGGTAAAATTCCATGAAAGAAAATAAAGCTAAAATAAAGCTAAATAGATCAGAATTTGTTAAAACTCAGTTAAGTTCAGACAAGGGAAGAAAAAGAGATGAAAGAGAAGCCAAGACCATAGGAGACAGTGCAGTTTAGAAAAAGAACATCTCAAGAAACGAGAGAAATTAAATCCTAAGCTAGAGAAATAGACAATTAATGAAATATCAGTTCACAACCAAGAGTTTTCTAACAAAACTGGATGAGATCAAGATACTAAATTACAACTAGACATAGCAAGAAGTGTGAAAACTATTGCCCAGTGTAGTAATTGCACATAATTATGTACACCTCAAAAAGCTAGAAGAAAGGCCTTTTAGTGCATTCCCCACAGACAAGTAGGAAACATTTAAGAAGATGAATATACTTAACTGATTTAAACATTATACAATATATGCAAGAATTAAAACATCATGTTGCCCTATTAATACACACACAATTTGTATGGTTTAGTATACAAATTAAAATGAATGTAAAAATTAAAGAAAGTGTGAATAATGTTAAGTGTTAGAGAGAGTTCAGATAAATGATCTCATATCGTTGATAGGAATACAGATTAGTGTAACCATAATAAACTACCATTTGATTCACTAATACTGTTCCTGGATACTAGAGAGACTGAAAATCAGTATTTCAAAGGGTTGTGATCTCTTTGCAAGCATTGAAGAATTAGCTATAATATGCCAAAATATTAAAACAGTCCAAGTGCCCATTGGTGGATGAATGAGTAAAGAATATACAGTACATATTAATGTATATATAAAGAATATACAGTAAATATCACCCAGCCTTAAGGGGTAAAGTCCTGCCATTTATAACAACATGGGTGAATCTGGAAGACTGCTATATGAAATTGGTCATGCAAAGAAAGATAAATAACACCTGATCTCAATCATGGATGTCAGAAGGAAAGGGCAAACGATGGCTATGAGAAGTTGGTGGAGAGAGAAGGGAAGAATAGGAGGTTGTTGATCAGAGACTATAAAATTAAATAGGCTGAATAGGCCTTAAAATGAGTTGCACCTTAGAGCAACTATTGGAAATGTTGTTGTCGTCGTCACTTTGATTTTGAGACACACCTCACTGTGAAGCTCTCATTGGCCTAGAACCCAGTGTATGGACCAGGTGGCTCAAACTCAAGGAGATCTTCTTGAGTTTGCCTCCTGAGACCTTGGATTAAAGTTATGCACTTAGAAAAACAGTTAGATGGAAGGCTAAGGCAGGCAGATACGAGTTTGAGTCCAGCATGCTACAGAGTAAGTTTGAAACAAACTTGGGCTACATATATAGAACCTGTATCCAAAAAATACATAAATGAACAACAGTGACAATAAACTTGAGGCGTATTATAAAAAAGAGAGGAGAGAATGTGTTTACATTTACTGCTTTGGTTTAGTCTCCCTGCATTGCACACACATTTCAAGACATCTCCTTGTACCCATTAATAGATGCTATTATAATTTATCAATAAAATTAGTATTTAAAATACACATGGAACCTGGCATTGTGACCCATGCCTATAATACCACTTAGGAGGCTGAAGCACAAGGACTGCCATGGACTATAGGCCAGCCTGGGTCCACAGTGAATTCTAGGTCATCCTGGACTACACTGCAACTCTGTCTCAAAAAAAGGAGAATTTCCAAAATAAAATAAATATAAAACTTCAGTTGTTTAAATACAGGAAGAGAAAGAATGAGGGATGGTGAGGCTTATCCTAGTTTTAAAACCTTCTGATGGTAAGTTTGAGCAGATATCCAGAGAGGGGGCAGAATTGAGATGCTGAAGGAAAAGCTGGTTATGCTGAGTCTGGGGACTGTAGGCATGTGAAGGAAGACTGTTTCAGATTCACATCCTCCTTGTGTTTTCATTCTTAAAAAGCAGCTTTTGAAGGTAGTCAAAATATAAAAAAGATGGTTAAGAGATCTGTGAAGAAATGTTGCATTTTGACTATGAAAAGTTATGGAAATGTATTGTCATATTGTCTCTAAAGCATAAAATAGAGAAACTGACATAGAAAGATGAGAGCAGATCGGAGTGTGGCAACCTAGCAGGGACTGCTGGGTGATCACAGCACTTTATACCCTGCAGTCCTTTACACATCATACGTTTTCATATCTGTGAGAGGTAGGTAGCATGCTTTACAGATGATGAAGCAGACGCCCACCGAGGTTGATAACCTGTCAGTTCTAAAGTAACTAGAACCCATATTAACTTAACCTTGGGCATGAAAACTGGACAGGACTTTGAGGATAATTGTCATTTAGTCTTGCTCCATCCCTTCTGCCCTTTGATGTTGTAAGAGCCAAAGAAACATCAAATAGCATTGCACATACATGTTCTTCCTCGTCCTTCTCTTTTCCTATCCCTAGGCTTATCCACTGTGCAGTAGAGATGGATAGGTATTGACAACAGAGCTCAACACTTGAATACTGTCCAGATCATGTTATGAGAATATGCAAAACTACTCAAACTCTTAAACATCACATTCCTTTTCAATGAGACAAGGGGATAATATTACCTATATAATGAAATTGGCCTGAAAGCAAATAGTTTATCATGTGTAAAGGAGCATGCATAGCAGAACATGTGTGATAAGCTCCATGTAAAAATAAATGTGTCCTTCCTCTTCTTAAGTAGGACATGGGGACCCTTGAGACATTTTTCATTCTCCTCTTTAAGTAGAAAATCATATAGGAGAGGTCCAGTTTTACACATAAATACAAAAATAGACAAATTGAGTATTTGAATATAGGGACTTATAACTTTTAGGGGAGATCTTGAGCATCCAAGAAAGCATTAAATCCATAGCTGAGGTGGGGGCACAGAAAGAGACAGAGACGAGAGACAGAGACACAGAGAGAACTAACTGCAATGGAGGGATCTTGTCAAAACTGCTGCTGGAACCTAATTTATGTCCAATTAGAGGAGCACCGGGGCATCATTCTGTGCAAACAGATGGCAGACATTAGGGCTGTCAGCAAAAGGAGCTCCCTTCACTAATTTACAAGCTAGGTACCACATGCCATAAGCCAGCGGTTACACTTTCCTAGGGGGAAGCAAAAGAACACCATTGTAAGCAATCATGAATGTCAGGCTTTTGCTTTAAAGAAATGCTCCTTGTCAAATCAGAAAGTGACGAGATGGTTGTTCCCTCCAACAGCATTCCCTGAAGATTTTCTTCATCATATATCTGTTTCATTATCTTTGCTCCCATAAATACTGGTCCCCCTGATTCCTGTCTTTCCAGCTTTGACATCATATCTGATGTCCCCACATCCTTCTTCCCTTTGCTCTGAAGGCATCATATCTCTTTGCTGTTCCCAAAACACAACACACACACACACACACACACACACACACACACACACACACACCTGTTTTTCATTTCTGCATGGCTTAATTCCATTCTTTCATTTTCTCATCCTTTTCTTTAATCTTTGAATTAATTTTGGTAAGGGCTAATGAAGGATTAAGATATTTCTGTGCAAGGGCTGTCGGTTTTTGATGACATGCCCCCTAAAGACTAAAAAGTGAGTGAGAAACTGGAAAACTGTTTCAGGTTTTCAGGAACCTTCAGAGAATGGAGGGCAGATTGGAAAGGAAACTCTTAGAGACAATGGTTCATACACACACACTATTCTAACCACACCAATCAGTTCAGTTTCCTG